TTCCTCAAGAAGCAATAATTTACGTAAATATGCGATGCAGATGTGCGTCGCATTTTTACTCTTTTAACACTTCGCACTTCGATCATTTTTTTAACTCACTTCACTGCTAGCAATATACATTTTTCATGCATATATTTATGCGGAAATATTGCTTGAAAGAAATGACTTTTCTATTTTATTATTCATGGCAACGTATAAGAATGGAAAAATTCTTTTAACAGTTGCATTACATTATATTTACTTTAATATTAATTTTTCATTTCTTGGAGAATTATGTTACTAACTTTTTCATTTCTAACATAATTCTATACAGCTATGTCTGTATAGAATACATAACTAAGCACATCCATGTATTGAAGAATTATCTAGTTATTATTCACATAAATTTGTATGAAATTATTTCTAATAACATTTACTAAAACTTTTATGCTTGTATCGTAATAAATTTCATTAAACGAATATTTTCCGTTTCGATATTTATAAAACAATTTAAAAAAGACATTGCAAACATCTATTATTATCATTAGATTAATCACTACATGTATACATATAATTTATTAAAAAATTTTTATCGACAACCAAAAATACAATAGATTGATAAGTCTTGTGCAGGCAATTTCACTTCATTTCTTTCAAGAATTTCTAGTCTGTAATTTCACTACACGTTTTCAACAGCATGCGTGGAAACAATTCTCATTGTGAGATTCGTGGAAAATTGCGCAAACATAAATACGCAAAACTGAAAAAAACGACGCCATACATTCGCGGCGGACTAAAAATCACGCTTCCGGTTTACGTTCGCCATTTCATGACCGTCGAGACGAGCGGGGTACCTATGTTATATTACTGCTGCGTATTTATGCGTGTGTAAAAAAAATACACATACGGATAACGCGCTAATACACGCGTGGCCCTTCGGCCCGTCTATGCCGCGCCCCTACGCTTTTACATGGAAAAGTACCTGTTTTAAATCGACCACGTATGTCAAAGCTTTGATATTTTTTCGGAATTATCAATGATTTTTGATGACCCTTTATATCGTTTTGACTTTAAAATATTTTGTTACTATTTATTTTGCATATGTGTTTCATATGAGTACAATTTTGATTTATGCCATACAAGGATTGCAAATTTCAAAATGTAATTAAAATGGCGATAGAACAAATATTATAAAAACATATTAAATTCAAATATATCGAAAACAAAATACTTCTACATATGATATTTTTCAAGTGCACGATGGGGTTCAGAGGAATTACTGCAATAATATATACGTATAATTCTCATTTTAACGAATAATATTTAACATTAATCTTGATTCAATTAATTCTTTATCTTTTTCTAGTTTTAAGAATTAGAAAAAATGAAGAGTAAGTTGAATAGAAATTAAATTTAATATATTTGAAAACAGGCATAAGTCAATCAATTTCTTCATTATATATTAACTTTTACATTTTTTGTTATTTTTATATTTTTTGTAATTTCGTCATGTTTATTTCTATTTGTTTTATTTGCACGTGTAGAAAGAAGCAGGAGAGGGATGGGGAAGAAAGCTCGAATTAATCTGTAAAAAATAAAGGTATTCTCTTAAACAAAAGTATAGTGACTTAATTTTTCCTTTCCCCATGTACACCTAACATTGTTGGTTCATGAATAGGTTTAGTTTGCATCTTTGGGAACTGTACAGTTATGTAATGCTACTGCAAGCACGATACAGAATAGCAGGGGAAGAACGACAGAGGGAGAACATGTGGGTGTGCGGAAATGCAGATATTTGCCAGGAAATTGATAACTCGAATAAACTCGTCGCAAAACATTCAAACAGGCTGCCAAACGGTACGATTGTACACTCCAATCCCCGGCTACGAACCAAACACCGCATATCCCCCCGATGTAACGGCTGTACATGCGTTCGCGGGTGTGATGTGCGAGCAATACAATGCACATATTACTTGCTCGCCGGTATTCTCCGCACCGACGGCGAATTACTGATTACAGATCGATTTGCAATTTTATTTCGACTTCTAATCATCAAAAGTTACTGACAGGATCTGATAATCCTGTCAGTAACAGCGATTGAAAAATTAATTATGTTGTTTCATGTTTTATAATAACAAGTTTTCTGATAATAAATCTCATTACAACGTATTCAAATGTAAATAATGTATAGAGTAAAAAAAACATTCTGTATTTGTGTTACGATCTATTTAAGTCCATGTTAAAATTTTATGTTGAATTTTTAGTATATCCGAATGTTAATTCAACATAATACGATTGTGTTATTTGAATATTTTGTGTTAAATTGATGTTCAACATTTCTTAAAATTAAAATAAGATAATTTATGAGCAAATGATCAAATAACATTAAAATAATGTTTTATAAAATGTAAATTCTAGATAGATAAATAAATAAAATGTGTTAATGCGTCATATTATAAATGTTAAATTTATTGAAACATATTAATTTAACATATTATAAATATCAATTTTGATGAAGAAATATGATTGCTTACAACTTGTGTCTATGTTATGTTTTCTGTAATTTTTTTTAAATTAACACAAATTTTTCATCTATGTAACCATCACATTTTAAGAAAATTAAAAAATTAGAATTATTCTGAATAATCATAAAGTTATTAAGAAATTATAAATATTAATCTCATAGGAACGTATATTGTGATTTTTTTTTCTACTATACATATAATAATAAAATTTAGAAATGATAACGATTATTGAAATGATGATAGTCGATTATAGCAACTAGTGGATGCGGCCAAACACAGGCATTACAGACGCGAATCAATATTAACTTGATATTTTTGCCGCGCCATTAGAGTCAAACAAACGCAATGTAAATTGCACGATACAGTCGCGTATGATTATTTGCCATAAATAGCGATGAAGCACGGGCACGAGCGTATGTCAACCGCGTCTCTATATGCACCCTTCACGGAGCAGTTCAAAAAGGACGCGAGTGTATAATGAAAATACCACACTATATATGGAGTATAAAATAGGTACGTACGCGGCCAATTCGCATAACAGCATCGACGTTTGAGATACATCAAACAACATATTAATAATATCTCTGGCACATCACAAATCACGATTAGCAATAAATTTTAATACATCAAAGGAATTTCTAAATAACAAGAGATTTAATCCAACAATGAAAAATATTTCGTTTTTTTTTTTAATTTAAAACCTATTCAAATAATTAGCGCAAGAAAGAGAAAGAAAGAGAAAGAGAAAAAGAGAGAGAGAGAGTGTGTGGTTGTATAATTTTTAAAAAACTCATACAGCATTTTCCGTAATTAAAATTGACTCTTCGCTCTCAATCATGCGAGTAATTTTCCGCAATGACTGTCCCCTGTTGCGCAACGCAACACGCCGTGCATCGCCACAAAGTCGGTATCAACTAATTAGCAACGCGCTAACGTCGAGCGGTACGGTGCGCGCGACGCGGTCAAAGGGCGTCGTTATCTCTGCACCCCGAACTACGCGAGAAAAAAAAAGGGAGAGAAAAAGAAGGACAGAAGGGAGAGACTTTTCGTGTGCCTCCAACCCCTTTCCTCTTTCGCAATCAAACGAAAATTAGCCGACGAAAAGCGAGCGAACTGACCATCGTATGCTTTTTCGCCGACGGTGAATTTGCACGGAGAAATGTACGATTTCTCACGATGTTGCTAGGTCCAGCGCATAGACTGTTTTTTTATCTTGAGAGAAATTATTTTTACTTTATATTACTGATAAAAAAATTATTGATCATTTTTTAAAGAAAATGATTGAAAACATTAATAGTTATAAAAATTATCATAAAAGAAGCTATTTCAAATCCCTCACATATACTTGATGTTTAGCATAAACGGAATAAACCAGATTATTCCACTCAGAAAGACACAAGAAAATTTATAAAGTTATAAAAATTAATATAAATTAAAAGAATATCAATCAAATTTTGTAGCAATAATAATCAATTTCCTTTCATAATGAAATAATAAATTAAATATTTTATATACTACCTAGATAATAATCTTTTTAGACAATTTGTTCCAAGTTCAATCAAATCTGACTTGAATTTTTCAAAGAATATTATATCGTATTATATTATTTAAAATTACAGTTATCTCAACAACGTGAAGGAAGCCATACGTTGAAGAGCACGGAAAAAGCGGACGGCCGCGGCGGCGGCGTCGTGACCGGGGAAAAATGGATGGCTCTATCTTTCGGTAATTAAGACAATGGCGAAAAATAAACAAACGCACAGAGAAAGAGAGAGAGAGAGAGAAAGAGAGAGGACAAGCCCTCCGTGCGAACGCATCTCTTCGGGGCTGTCCGTGGCACAGCTGTTACGTTGCCGGGGGCTCAAATAAACGACTTAGGTAGATTAAGCATACAAATCTCGATGATTCTGCTCCTGGTGTAGCCGGCTTTAACCCGCCCGTATGTCGGGGTCAACGCGAAAAAATATACGGGTTGTCCACCCCGACCGCCCGCAACTCGAGAAAGATCGAGCTGTTCTCAAACAATACGGCATGTGTTTCCTTATCTCCTAAGATATCCGCAGTATGTTTTGAAAATTTTGAATACGCAGCTGAGTTTGTTTAACAGGGACAATATTTATGATAAACGGAGAAAATCCGCGTGGTTGTTTTTGAGATTACGTCAATAGGAGTATCTTACGAGTTGACGTAAAGATTTCAGTGACATTTTATACTTTTCTTAGAACAATATCTCATTAATATATTAACAAAGATCAAAGAACAGAACCGTATTAATGTTAAGAAAGATATTAAAATCGTACAAAGAACAGAAATGATCAATACAAGTGATTAAATATCGAGCATATTTCATTTCATTCAGCATATGATAGCATAATTAAAAATTGTATGAAAAAATCAAATGTTAATTAAAAATTCAAACATGAGATCGATTCCACATCATATTGATCATTATCCGCTCGGAAAAAAAGCAAAAAACATGCATATAATTGAACTCACGTCTGTACGGTCGTCCTTCCTCCGGAGTGGATCGTTCAGTGTTCTCGGATCCTGGTGTGGCGTTGGCATCACGGTCTTCTTCATCGGGAGTTGCACCACGATTCGGCACGGAACCAGTACCGCCGGTACCGGTAGGCGAGCGGCTCCCC